TTTTTTGCAGTTTATACTTTTTTTTACGTTTAGACAATGCCAAGAAAGCTGTTTCCCCCTATTTCCATTGATTTTAGGAAGCTAAGCCTTGCAACGACTGGCTAACTTCTCATTTACCCAACAGACATGACAGCGAGTGCAAACTGTTAGAAAAGAGAGCAAATCATTTTGATTTCACAAAATGTCAAACTGTTCCTTTAAAATGTTATGGTTGTGATAATTTCACTTAAAACACTAGGATTTGCCTCCTACATGTCTACCTGCCATCAGGCAACGCTCTGCAGTGTGGGCTCGGGCTGCTGTCAAACCATATATAATCATTCCTGCAGTCCTGGCTATACCGAAAAGTCTCCCTCTGCTGACCGTGTGTGTGTGTGTGTGTGTGTGTGTGTGTGTGTGTGTGTGTGTGTGTGTGTGTGTGTGTGTGTGTGTGTGTGTGTGTGTGTGTGTGTGTGTGTGTGTGTGAGAGAGAGAGACTAAAAAGAAGCATGCACAGAAGGAGATAGAGGGTTCACTGCTGAGATAAAAATGGAATCCATTTTGGTTCTTCAAGCACTCTCATCCACAGTGTGAGGACCTGCTCGGTGTGTGAGCCTGTTATTGCTATTTCAATCACTTCTCTTCCTCCTTTTCTCTATTTCAATTACTTTGCTTTTCCCTTGCTATACCGTATATTGTTTCCTCCTTCCCTCTGCATCCCCACTTATGTCCTTTCCTTTTTCTCTTCCTTCCTCCTCTGTCCCCTTCCTCTCACTTCTCCTCTCTACTGGCAGCCATGCACCCCAACACTGTCTCAGGTCCTGAAACTATGGCAACGGAATGAGAGAGCAAGCGCTCTATGATTAATAGATGAGAGATGCAGTGCCAATCGCTGGGGCCTGGGGAGGAGGGACAGATGCACTCCAACAACGCCACGCAAACATGCACGCAGAGTCACAGAGAGTACACAAATGCACACCCTCAAACCCCTCCACAATGAGCCACCCTCTGCGCTTAGTGGTAATATACACACGGAAAACGTGAGAGGGTCTGACTCACACCACACAGTGGCACATCGGCAGAGTTAGCACTTAAAGAGCTAAACAAGATGGTGTTTACCTGATGCTTAACACACTCATGACACACACTTCCTTATTGGCATCCAACAAGCAAACTAACCACAGAAATAACCACAGCCTCAGCAGCGGATGTGGCCCTAATGAGACTTAACAGACTGTGCCTCTCTTCCTGGCTCACAGCTGGCTGCTCTCACCTGTAAAAGCACAACAGCAGGACAGGAACTACATCATACTTTAATGCTGTGTACCACGATATACATCATCTGGTCTGTAGTACAAGACTTGGCTCTTTTCAAGGCCAGTCATTCATTCATCTCCCAGGCAATCACACAAAGCCCTGCTGCTTTTGGATAATCCCTGCAAATGCATTTCATCTCCATCCCATTTGAGTAATGACAGACGATCAAACTCGGCTCTGACAAAGGTATTAGTGCGTGTTAATGTTGCATGTTCTGACTAGTTGAGATATAGCATTTCCATGAAGAGAAACCTGGTGTTATAAGCAGATTTTAAATGTTGCTTTTGTTTTCATTTGGCAGGTGTGTGGTCAAGTTTGGCTTCTTAGCAATCTTCTCCTAGATGGGCCAGCCATAACTTTCTAATAGACTTAATTTCTAACAACAAAGCTTTGCCAAGGACCAACAGCCAAAAAAACTAAAGACACTGCCAATTCTACCACTGACTTGCAGCACCCGGCCGAAAAAAGCCTTGGCCTGGTCCTTCATGCTGCTGGCATTTTTGGCATAGACAACACGCTCAATCAATTATGCTAATGTAACGAGTATGAAGAGTGTTTTACACTTAGAAGGTTATTTCAATGGATGCACTACAGAGCCATTTCTTGGGAGAGGAAAGGGTTAAGGCGAAAGCAGCCAGTTCAAACAACACAAAGAAACTTAGAAAGTGGAACGCCATGCATCCATGCATGTGTGTGAACAACTGACTAGAGCTAGAGCAACACGCTGAAGCAAGTGATTAGCGAGTGATTACATTTTCAATGGGCCATGCCGTGAATAGAGCACACTGGACCATACTGCACAGGGAGATGTATTGGGTATCTTTAGTATAGTGAATACCATTAATCATCTCATATAAACAGGAAGCGATATGTTCCAACTTAACTAGAAAGGATGGCAGGTAGTGATCAAATATCTGCTTTCTCACATGCACAAACAAAGAAGATGCATGGAAATATAGATGGAGCTGTGCCATCCCCTCTCATCCTGTAAAATATCATTCAGTGTGTTTTCTTACATAAAATGAAAAGCGTTTATCGAATAATGACTTCAACTTCAGTAGGTCACGGAAATTAGAAAAAAGAGAGGTGGAGCAGCAAAAGCTTAAGTGAATCTCTATACAGGGTGGGAGTTGTTATGGCTTATTAAAATATGTTCCTATTTATTTTTTTACCTTCTGAATCACAACAGACTCAATCTAAAATGAGAGCCAAAGGAGCACAGCCAAAAGTGAGCATGTAACATTTCTGATGGACAGCTTCATCAAAAATACACACTTCTTTTATGAGGCTGATCCAAAACCAAATTAACTAAAAACATAATATACTCAATCATGATTTACCTTTTTTTTTTTATCTCTACGACTTGGTTTGATTAGCGTATTTGTCATTGTTGCCACTGCAATTAAGAAAGATGTAGTATCTGGAAATAGGTTAAGCATTAATAAATCACATCAAGATGAGTTAGTGGGGTTTGATGCTTTCTCGCCCTCTAATTGTTGTTTTTTTAAAACACCAGCCCACACACCAAGGACATGCATCAATAAAACATGGCTTTCATACAATATGCATAAATACACACACTATTGAATGGGGGCTATTGACACTTTCTGAATGAAGATCAATGGTTAACAGAAGCTGACCGGTCTCATATAATGGAGGGCCAATTCATTGGAACAGGAGCAAAGCCATTTATCAATTATTCAAACCTACTGTTTTCGAACTGCATCTGCCCTTAACTGGCAAAGGTAAATACTAACTCTCCCTCTCATGCTCTCTTTCCCCCACACATACAGTGGGACAAATCCACATCAGTCACACACAATGCCATCCCCATTGCTATTGTTAGGGGATCTGCGGATCAAATGCTCCACGGAGCATTGCTCCAAATACAAGCAACAACTCTGGTCGCTCAGCTCTATTCTTCCTCTCCAGGAGGAGAACAGGCAAGCTGCTGTGACAAAGGTAATCATGCTGTAATTCATGTATCAGCACCATAACATGTCAATGTATACTGTGTTAATAGCAGGATTATCACTCTGTTTTGTGGTGTTGTAGCCTTTACGAAATAGTATGGGAGGATTTACAGCCTGTGCAACTTCTCAGGCAAAATGCCTCCAGGACATTTGAATGCCTTAAGGCGAATGTTATAGAAACATTCTGCTATTTCACATTCAATATCAATGTGTAACACTCAGCACAGTATGAGTGGGAAAATACCTAAGGTCGCAGATCAAAAAAACACACAAGTACCAAATATTTCCAACGATTTCAGGGGGGAAAAAGGATAAAAAACAACACCCTTTCTTCTCAGTGGTGGCATGAAATCTTTTAAATGTTTTGTATAGGACAATGCTAAAATCAAAACACTATGTGCGAACAATCTTTTGATAAAAGGCATATTTTGCCGTGAGCATTCAATACTGCTTAGATTCCCCCATTAATATCATCACCCTTACACACTTGATAATCTATAACCTACATTTAGATTTGCTGAATCCTTTTTCCATCTTTTCCCAGTGACTCTGGGGGGATCTTTCATACTGGGAGAGGAGAGGAGAGGAGAGGAGAGGAGAGGAGAGGAGAGGAGAGGAGAGGAGAGGAGAGGGAAACCACTGGGAGTGACTGGGTGTTGGCAGTCAGGCTGCTGGATGTGGTTTGTGAGGCCTCTATCTCCTCTCTCAGCTTGTTAAAAAAATTATTTGCAGCAGGCAGCACTTCATTTAATGGCAAATCCACTTCTGAGACCGGTGTAATTTTGTCTCCTACTCAGAATTACAAACATTTGATTGATCGTTGGGACCAGAGTAATACTGACCACTCAGCCTCCTGGTAGCTTGAATTCAATGAACACACCCTACGAATCAATTCCCAACAAATAAAATGTGTCTGTGAAATGACTTATTCATTAATTATTAACATTAAATCTCTGATTAGTTTTATATAAAGAATGAAAACAGAAAGTATGATTGCAAAAATGTCTACTGTACATGTCAATTGCTGCTCAAATTCTCATTTCCATGAATGTGAAATAAATGGCCAATAAAAAGCCCATCATGCACTGTAATAACGGACACATCGCTTCAATGTTTAAGCGTTTTCACACAAAAAACATGGGTACATTTTAGGTACATATAAATACTACATTTTTCCATTCTTATTTTCAGTCCACAGATGGAAGTGTTGTGGCTGTAATCTTTAAACTCAACGAGGATGAAAAACAGCATGTCAGACGGAGGCAAGAGGAAAACAGTCGGTCTGGGTCCTGCAAGTTCCCATAAGCACATTTCTTATTTGCCGTAAATTGACCTATACCCGGAATGATAGTGAAGAGGTTTTGACACAATGTAATCCGCAATAGCTCTTTTTGAGACGGTCCCTTCTTTATTCCGTATGGGTAAACAGCATAAAAGGGATTACGCACGAACATGTGGTCTGTTGTATCGGCACAGGGATCTTTCCTTGAGGACAATAATCGCAGTTCTCATTTAATTAGAAAATAAGGCACTTTCTATTTTTCTCAGAACTTTAACAAATCTTTACAAATACGCTAAACAACCCTAAGTTAATAAATACGTAACCATGTGAAGCGTGTGCACTTGTCGCACGGCAGCCTGGCTTCTCAGAAAACAAGCCTCCGGGGCTGGAGAAGCACTGGTACGGGCTATACGCGCACCAAAAGTTTGAAATAAACAAATAAATCTTACCTTCAGCTCATGAATGGATATGCCTCGGAGTTTTTACAGCTATATCTTTTAGTAATCCATGAGGTATGGCTCTCAAAGCGGTTCAGACGGTGCTCGGTCAGAATAACAATACGAGCGCTACTTTTCTCATGCGCTTCTTTTTGTTACATGCCTCTCTCAAATCACACCTCTTCAAATCGGAATATCCATTGGAAAACCAACCTAGAGAGAAAAAACAATGTTTCGGATTACAAACTCCTCTCTCGTAAACTGAAAAAAACGGGTGTCCCAGAACTAGCTACAGCGCAGAATTCAGTCCCCTCCACAAAAGCCGACGGTCATCCTATTTGGAGATGAAGCTTCTTACCAGACTGGAGCGGAGCGCTGCGAGCCCAGCTGTCACCCACCCGCTACACACACATACACACTCACACATACATAGGGAGGAGCTACGTCTCTGGTATTGTGTCAATGGGTGCCAGTAATGGACAACTGTATTTCTATTTTTAAGTAGCGGCATTTCATAAGAATGTGCGCTTGAGAAGGAGAAAGCCTGAGAGCTAATAATAGTGTCGACAAGGATTGAAAAAAAGACAAATGTTTAGAGGTTAGTATGAAATTCAGATAAGATTAAGTGCTGTTTTGAAGAAATGCAGGCTGGGTCACTTGGTCTGTGTCATGCAAACTGCCAATGATGATTTTAAAGACACAGTAATGATGCATGTATTGTGTGATGCGAATCGGAATGTGATCCGGTTGAAAAGCTCTCTTGTCTGCTCTCTGCTCTGTGCTGCTCTTTCTTCCTCGGTGGTCCCTCCAGGGTCCCAGGTTGGCAGGGGTGCATGCACAGAAACACCTGCTTTGTACTGTAGGTTTTTTTAACACATGGGTTTAAACTGATCTTATCAAAGTGGTCATTAGGTGCAGTCTGAAAGCCACAAGAAAGTTGCTGCTTAAACTTCTGCTCTTAGGCTACAATCTGATGTCAGGGGTGCAGGCTCCACAGAGTGAAAATCTTTCTCCCTCTCTCACAATCTCTCTCTCTCTCTCTCTCTCTCCCTCCCTCCCTCCCACACACAGACACACACACGCTCACACGCCTTACCTTAAACAAAGTCAAAATCAACATCAATTTGTCAGTGTGTGTGTGTGTGTGTGTGTGTGTGTGTGTGTGTGTGTGTGTGTGTGTGTGTGTGTGTGTGTGTGTGTGTGTGTGTGTGTGTGTGTGTGTGTGTGTGTGTGTGTGTGTGTGTGTGTGTGTGTGTGTGTGTGTGTGTTCCTGAGCAGTGGCCTGTCAGGCACTATTGCCATCTTGTTACAGTAACAGCTCCGTACAGTGCTGCTTCCACAGGCCCAATGCCAAACACTATTCTTTGATGTAAACTAATGCGCTCATGCCCGCCAATCCTTTCCTCATCTGATATCATTTAATTTGCTTTAAAAGCAAAACTCATTTACAATGATGCAATTGAACCATAAGGAAAGGCTGTGCTGCAGGAAACATAATCACTCTACTGTTTCTTTCAGGCAGATCTGGATTTGGTCCATGTGGTTTGTTAAAAAGATATTTAATCATAAACAGTCAACGTAAAGTGTGGTAAAGGCATATGCAAAAACAAGCACTTCTTTGGCAATTAAGTGCCTGCAGTGCATTCATATATAAAACATCTCATTTGACAGTATAATGTACAGCAGGCTTGTTGGAGTTCATTAAAATTCTGTGTGAGAGATGTGTTTGAGTGCACGTCTACTGTGCACTGATGATGACACATGCAGGTGAATCATTATATATACTCCACCAAATGCGAAAAAAGCATTTTGATCCTCTAACATCAATGCAAATGCTGCAAACAAAAAGCAGGTTACAAACAGAACAAACATTGTGTATTTCACACACCAACTCTTTAATCTGCTTCTTTCTCTATTTCACTCTCGTGCTCTCACACACTTTGAAGTGGAAGTGTTGCTAAGTGTAGGAGGCGGGCAGGATATAATTCGAGCTCAATAATGTCAAGATACACACCAGTTAGTTTGAACTCTGGAAATATGCTCGTGTCAGAGCTTATCCTGCTTATCTTGCTAAAGTTGTCCCAGGCGCATTAGGACTGGAGGAGAGGCGGCGGTTGCAATAGAGAAACACAGAAACCATCACTTCCACAACCGGGACAGACATTAGGCACACAGGAGCAGTTCTGCAGATACCTGCTGCCAAACTCCATACTTAGCCCTCCTCTTCCCTCCAGCCCACTGGAACTTGATCTAAACATTACTTTTCAGCATGACATAAGTCTTCTCTTCATTTTACTGGCCAAAAGAATTTCCTACAAATCATTTACAGCCTTAAAGTTGGCCTGGGAAGCTACTAACTAAAGGAACTGCGCCCACCTTTAAACGCAGGGCATTTAAAGCTTTGTAACAGCATGCAGCAATTTCCTGTGTCTCTGACACTTCACACCTCCTCTCCTGTCCATGAAAAGCTGCCACACCACACCAGCTATAGTAGAATACAGGTTCTTTACAGAAGTGAAAGTACCAGTAGCTTTACAGTAAAGTACATCCTGCATAGAGAATCCTCCTGAATGTAATAGTACGGTACATTCAGCTGATTTAACTTTAACTAATACAAAGTACACATTTTCTCTAAGCTTTGATTTTTTGTGAAATGTTGTCTAATTTTCTTAGTTGAGGCTTAAACATATCTTGAGTGGATGATATTAAAAACAATTGAATTGTTAAACATGCTTTTTTCCTGAGTGAAAGTATTCGGTAACATTGAATGAAATGCTGAGATAAAGTAGATGTTGAACAAATGTGTAAGGTACAGTAAATATAAATATTTACTTTCCACCTTCACCACAATTGGTTATGACAATGCTGTTGTGATGTAAAAGAGCCTTACAGTAAACCATGTTGTTTCATACATACACATGCTGATATGGAAAGGTATGAGTGTTGTTTCCCACTTGAATATTCAGTAATATGGGATTACCTAAATTATGCAATTAAAAGTCCTAACATTGAACATGTACTGTATGTGCATACTAAGGAGACAGTCACACACACACACACACACACACACACACACACACACACACACACACACACACACACACACACACACACACACACACACACACACACACACACACACACACACATAAGCACACACAGTCTACAGTATCTTTATCACTATATTGGCTGAGCTGTGGGTATTACAGCTGGGACACGAGGAGCATCATTTGTTAAAACTGCCCCCAATAATGCTGCCAGAGTCCTAATGGCTGCTGCTCACCTGTGGATCATACAGACAGCTGGGAGAGGAACAAAGACCACTTACAGTAGTAACTGCCTTTGTACTGTTGCAGGCCGATCACTGAATCTGTCTGCTCCCTCTCCTCTCAGTACTTAAATGGGCACAGCAGCCTGTTTACTGTCTTCAAAGGGTGTAAAGTGGAAAAGATAAACATGTAGTTACATCTATAAATTGTGACTAAGCTACTGCTGATTGTTAAGTTCTTCCATATGTGACTTCTGGGAGCACGACAGCAGTTTAGACTGTATTCTGCTGTTTCTGTCATCGCATAATTGATATTGTGTTGAAAACAGACAGGAACATAAGGATTAGAAGGATGAAGGGAAACTCTGGTAAAGCCACAAGCTTGAAAGTGATACTGTGATTTTTCAAAAATATTGACCAGGCTCGTACACTGTGAGTCCTGAGCACCTTAAGAATTATTATATTAAAGTAGCAGAAGCACTGTTATCCTACTAGGTGGTTATTTTAGAAAAGGTACATTAGGGGGAAGGCCAAATTCAATAAGAATATAGCTTGTTGAAAGTGCACTCAGATTTTAAGTAACCTTTTTTGCAAAAGAGAAATCATTTCTGTAAACAGTTTTGCATTTTTGTCCAGACAATCTACATTATTACCTAGAAAAAGGGACTGTGTTCTGTGAATAGCATTATACCATACTTAACCAATAGAATAGCCTGTGATATAAGACAGCTGCACAGTTAAAACACTCCATCTGTTGAGATGCAAAATGACACAAAGTAGACCCTATCAGACTTGTTAGGAGGTAAAACAACAAATATATATTTGAGTAAAACAGCTAGTAATCAAAGAAAAACCAAATTTCCCAAAAATAAAAACTGTTCTTAGAAAGAAATATGCTGAACTACTGTACAATCACAAGGTATGAGCTGATATTTGCCCTATGAGAATCATTGAAGTACATATCATGAATAGATACATATACTATACTAGTTCATTTGTTTACTTCACATGTTGAAGTTTTCTCAGGATCCAAATGTTTTGTTTAAAAAGTGTTTTATAGATATTTCAGAGAAATGACAATGCAAATATGCTGTTTGAGGTATATTTTCAAAGTCAATATGATTTACATTAGGAAAGTAAAATGAATACACTAACAGTACATAATGATAGCATTGCAGTCTTAAAGTTTGAAAGTCTTCAAAAGTTTAAATCATTTTACAAACTAAATAGAGCAAATGGAAATTAAAGCATGCCACAGCGGTCCACTGTTTGACATTTTGCTAAAGAGTACACAGGTATCCCATAGAGGGAACTCTATTACTTCACTCCAAATCTTATAGTAATCATAAGTTCAAACAGTATTAAAACAGAAAAGAAGAATTTAAGATTGTTTTCAGATGTACAGATGTAGATGTAAGTAAAGAGAAAAAGAAACTGAGATACTGTTGCCCCCTGAGCTGCTGAAAAATGATCATTAGTTATCTCAGGGGAGAGGGGTGTCACTCACAGACACACTAACACACACATGCATACGTATACACAGTTTACAGTAATAGCAGATGTTTACTTACTTGTTTATGTATTTAAAGGACAGTGCACATTAATCCAGATTGTTGTGAATGAGCCAGTATTAGCCAGTGTTATTCCTTATCTGTATTGTGTTCCAAAGTGTTGATGCCCTCACAGAGAAAAAGTGTTTACCAAAGGAACTGGACCTAAGAGGGACTACACAGTCCCCTCTAGGGCAGACCTTGTGGTTCTGCTGTTTGAATGTTTCTGCTGTATAAAAGTGCAGAGTGGTGGGGGGTGCCTTGCTGTTTATAATCTTAAAAATGAGACATGCATCAGTGTGTTTTAAAAGATTTTCCCAGCTGAGCAGGTTACGTACGTATCTTTGTCCAGGATTTTGCAATGGTGGTATAGCTTAGGTTTTCTGTCCAAAACTTTGAGAGCTTGTTTGTGAAATGATAGGATCGCTTGGAATAAGAAAACCTTGTAGAGAGAGACAGTCAGATGCCCTAGTTATGAATGTGTTGCTCAGATCCTTAACCCACACACTCATATCCAGTACAAGTACGCAGTTTTGGTGGTTTTATATTATGATGATTAATAGACAATAGTA